TATATATATATGTATATATATATATATATATGTATATATATATATATATATGTATATATATATATATGTATATGTGTGTATATATATATGTATATATATATGTGTATATATATATATATATGTATATATATATATGTATATGTGTATATATATATATATGTATATATATATATGTATATATATATATATATATTTATATATATATATTTATTTTTTATTTTTTTGCTTTGCATCGCAGCTCCTGCGATGTGACTATCGCGGATGCGCACATCGTGATTTCGATGCTGAAACAATGTATCGTGCAGCCCTAGTATATGATTGCAAGGGTGCAAGTGAGACGTCATTTTTCGAATACATCACGAGCGCTGTGCATGTTATGTCTATAAGTCATGTAAAACAATTAATTGCTAACTGAAATAAATGAATAATGTGATTATACGGTTTGTAATGTGATGTTTTATTAGATTATTTTGCAATTATTTTGCGTTTAAGAATCCTGCTGGATCTAAAAAGTTTGTGACTCAGCATTCGCGGAATCACGAATAAACTAGGGGTCTGATTATTACCACATACTACATTATTGAGTATCAGCACATTGTGCATGCTCAACATCACTATATTTTGCATTAGATGAATATCATCATGTGTCCAATAACAGTATTGTCCATGCTCATCATCAGCATACATCGCAGTATTGAACATCAGCATTTATTTGTGTCCTCCAGCTGTCGGAGGAGGACTGGAGCCGCAGGTTGGAGCAGCTGCGGGACGAGCTGGACGAGATGTACGGGCAGCAGATCACGCAGATGAAGCAGGAGCTGCGCCTTCAGCATGCAGCAGAGGTGCAGCGGCTGCAGGACATGCAGAGCTCGGAAACAGAGAAGATCATCCTGCAGCATCAGGCGGAGCTGGAGCGCTTCAGAGGACAGCTGTACCAGAGCACCGGCGGAGTCAATGTGCTGAACGTCAAGATGATCGAGCTCCAGCAGAAACTGCAGGAGACGCAGGTGTGTTGATGATAAAGGAGGATTTTGATCTTTATTATTAAAGACCCACTAACGGACTCGGCTATTTAGCTTATGGTTATTGAAGATAGTGATATAGAAAAGTCGAGGGAATGGTGGAGTCAGGATGCTCAAATAAACCAATAACTCACCTGAGCAATAGTCAAGACACAATAAACACATCCCAGCCTGGTCCGTCCTGTTTTTGGGTCAAAGCCTCACAATTCACTCCCATCCACCCTTTCAGTGCATCAGACGAGAGCAGCAACACATGTTTTTTTTGCGCAGGTGCTGCGGGAGAAAGCGGAGCAGGAGCTGACGGAGCTGCGGGAGGAAAAACGGCATCTTCTGGAGAAGCTGGAGCATCTGAAAGCAGATCTACAGTCCTCAGATCATCTGCGTGCTGCCATGAGTGACCTGCAGATGAAGCTGGATGAAGCGCTGAAGGAGAACACCAGCATTAATGCTGAACATGAGTCTGAAGTCACCAATTATAAGATCAAACTGGACATGCTGGAGCGGGAGAAAGACGCAGTGCTGGACCGCATGGCTGAATCACAGGAGGCTGAGCTGGAGCGCCTGCGCACACAGGCAAGTGTAGACATTGGATTTTTAGATGAGGGCTGCACGATTTATTTATTTGTAGTATTTAATTATGTGTATGGCGAGGCAGTGGCGCAGTGGGTAGTGCTGTCACCTCACAGCAAGAAGGTCGGCTGGGTCGCTGGTTCGAGCCTCGGCTCAGTTGGTGTTTCTGTGTGGAGTTTGCATGTTCTCCCTGCATTCACGTGGGTTTCCTCCGGGTGCTCCAGTTTCCCCCACAGTCCAAACACATGCGGTACAGGTGAATTGGGTAGGCTAAATTGTCCGTAGTGTACGAGTGTGTGTGTGAATGTGTGTGTGGGTGTTTCCCAGAGATGGGTTGCGGCTGGAAGGGCATCCGCTGCATAAAAACTTGCTGTATAAATTGGCGGTTCATTCCGCTGTGGCGACCCCGAATTTATAAAGGGACTAAGCCGACAAGAAAATGAATGAATGAATAATTATTTGTACGATTAATGCAAAAAATTCTTGTTTCTGGTCAAAGTTATATATTTATTTTGTTTTTATTATTTTAAATTATAATTATTAAATTGCCCAATTTATTTTTAAATGTGCAAAAAAAATCTGGATTTTGGATTTCGCTTGTATGGTGGCTTTGAAGTGTCACAACACCTCTCGCAATGCTTTTAACGAATGGGAAAAGCAGAAAAAAATTGTTCCGAATTATTTGACGAGGTATAAAAGTTTTGAAGGCAGTGCGTAAATGTGATTTGACATAACTTGGTGTCATATTTATTTTTAAATGTGTAAATATTTCTGGATTTTGGTGTTCGCTTGTTTGGTGCCTCTGAGTAAAAACAGCTCTCAAAATGAATTTTCTTAATTTGTTTTATAACAGGTGAAAGTTTCGAAGGCCGTGTGTAGATGCGCTTGACAACGTCACATAAAATTTATTTTAAATGTGCGAAAATTTCCGGCTTTTGTATTTAGCTTGTATGGCGGCTCGATTGCGAAAAGCAGAAAAAAACCCCGATTTGAATTTCTCCACGCTAGACGAAAGTTTTGTAGGCAGTGTATAAATGCAATTGTCACTGCGTGACGTCAAATTTATTTTTAAATGTACAAATTTTTCTGGATTTTGGATTTCGCTTGTAAGGTGGCTCGATTGCAAAAAGCAGAAAAAAACCTGCTGTGAATTTCTTTACGACGGATAAAAGTTTTGTAGGCAGTGTGTAAATGCGATTGACACAACTTATGGTCAAATTTATTTTATAATGAGCAAAAATGTCAGGTTTTTAGAATTTGCTTGTATGGTTGCTTGAATGCGAAAAAACAGAAAAAAATTTGTCTGATTTGAATTATTTACGCCAAGCAAAAGTTTTGAAGGCAGTCAGTAAATATGATTAACACAACATGACATCAAATTTACTTTGTAAATGTGCGAACATTTCTGGATATTTGGAATTCACTTCTGTGGTGGCTCTGGAGTGTCAAAAACGCCTCTCAAAACACATTGCGAAAAAAAAAGTAACCTAATGTGATTTCTTTTTATGAAGTATGAAAAGTTGAAAGTGTCAAAACACCTTTTAAATGATTTTTACCAATGTAAAAAATTGAAAAACATTGTCCCGAATTTTTACGAAGTATGAGCATTTTAGTGGCACTGCGTAAATGCGATTAACACGTTACGTCACATTTATTAATATTAATATTTATATATTGTGCGAAAATTTCTGGATTTTGGATTTGGCTTCTGTGGTGGCTCTGAGGCGTCAAGATGCCTCTCAAAGCTCAATGCGAAAAAAAGTGATTTTTTTTTTATAAAGTAGTTTTTTAACAATTTTTACCAACGCCAAAAACAAAAAAAATTTGTGAAAATTTCTGGATTTTGCGTGTATGGTGGCTCTGAAGTGTCAAAACACCTCTCGAAATGTTCTTTTTAGATGCGAAAATTTTTTTTAATTTTTTTTTATAAAGTATTAGGATTTCGGAGGCAGTGTGTAAATACGATTGACGCGTTACATCAAATTTATTTTTAAATGTGCGAAAATTTCTGGATTTTGCTTGTATAATGTGTCTCAAATTCAAAAAACTGGAAAAAATTAACCTGATGTAAATTTCTTTATAACAGACTAAAGTTTCAGCAGCAGTGTGTAAATGCGATTGACACAACGTGATGTCAAATAAATTTTTACATGTGCAAAAATTTGAGGTTTTTGGATTTTGCTTGTTCGGTGGCTCTAAATGGTCAAAACACCTTTCAAAGTGCCGTTTACAGATGCGAAAAACATCGTTTAAATTTTTTTTACGAAATGAGAAAGTTTTGAATGCAGTGCGTAAGTTCCATTGACAATGTAATGTCAAATTTATTTTCAGTGGCTCTGAAGTGTCAAAACGGCATCTTAAATTTGTTTTAAAAATGTGAAAATATTAAAAATGTAACCTGATCTGAATTTTTATAACGAAGTATGAAAGTTGAAAGTGTCAAAACACCTTTCAACGCGATTTTTTTTTTACCAGTGCAAAAAAAAACAAAAAAACATTGTGACATTTTTTTACGAAGTTCGAGTTTTTCGGCGTGCGAGTGTGCGAAAATTGTGTGCGAAAATTTCAGATAAAATTTTGAATTTAATGCGTGATGACCTTTTAGTTTTAGTTTTCGTTTACTAAATGAACCTTTCTCCACATGCAGCTGCTGTTCAGCCATGAAGAAGAGCTAACGCGACTCCGAGAAGACCTGCAGATGGAGAACCAGCTCAACATAGAAAACCTGCGCGACGAAATAAACACCAAACACCAGCAGGCCATTCACGAGCTGCAGAATCAGCTGAGCGATGCGCTAAAGAACATGCGCGAAAAAGAGTCCGAACTACAGCAGAACATCCAGCATCTCAGCACAGAGAACACACACCTCCATCAGGAGATCGAGAAGCAGAAAAACACCTTCTCCTTCGCCGAGAGGAACTTCGAGGTCAACTATCAGGAGCTAAAGGAGGAGTACACATGTCTGGCTAATGCTAAGCTGCAGCTTGAGGAGCGTTTGGCTAAGGGTAGCATGCAGGCTAAAGCTAACGGCGCTGTGGAGAAGCACAGCACTGAGCTGATGGAGAAGCTGGAGAAGGAGAACAAGAGTCTCTCAGAGCGGATTATTATTCTGGAGCGAGAGCGCGCCGTGCAGACGCATCACATGCACAGCATCAGATGTGCGCGCGCGGACGACACGCACACACACTCTCTCACACACACCGATGCGCAGGATCATCCACTCGCAGCTCTGCCGCCGCAGGTAAGATGCATCAATGTTGCGCTGAATACAATTGTGCAACAGTTGGATTGTGTGTGTGTGTGTGCATGTGTGTGTGCATGTGTGTGTGTGTGCGCTATGCAGATGTTTTGATGGATGTTTTATACGCTCAGCATTGCAGGTGGAGAGGAAAAAGTGTGGGAGGAATTGATGCACCGTTTAGAGAGAGCAAGATTACTGAGAACGGGGCGAGAGACATTGGCTTATAAAAGAGAGAGAGAGGGTGTTTGATTTGCTGTGTGTGTGTGTGTGTGTGTGTGTGTGTGTGTGTGTTTGTGTGTGTGTGTGTGTCTTTGATCTGTTTAAAGGAAAATGGGGGCTTTATACTGCTCTAAAAGGCTGTTTGTTTATGCTGCTCTGCAAAAAATGCTGTGCATGCGTGGAGTTTTTGTCTTGTTTCTAGTCTAAATATTCCTAAATCAAGAAGCATTTTCTAGACAAGTCAAATATGCGGTTGTGTTTTAAGAAATTAGTCAAAATTTTTATTTTTAAATTAAAACAAGCTAGGGGCGAAGCAGTGACGCAGTAGGTAATGCTGTCGCCTCACAGCAAGAAGGTCGCTGGTTCGAGCCTCGACTCAGTTGGGGTTTCTGTGTGGAGTTTGCATGCTCTCCCTGCGTTCTCCTGGGTTTCGCGTGGAAATACAGTCCAAACACATGTGGTACAGGTGAATTGGGTAGGCTAAATTGTCCGTAGTGTATGAGTGTCTGTGTGTGTGTGTGTGAATGTGTGTGTGGGTGTTTCCCAGAGATGGGTTGCAGCTGGAAGGGCATCCGCTACGTAAAAACTTGCTAGATAAGTTGGCGGTTCATTCCACTGTGGCGACCCCGGATTAATAAAGGGACTAAGCCGACAGGAAAATGAATGAATGAATGAATAAAACAAGCTAAATAATCTCCCAAAGGGGTAAATGAATGATTCGGAAAGTTTTTCATCTTGCCATAACATTGTTTTTCTTACCCCTGGCAGGGCTTGAAATAAACCTTTTTGCTTGGTAGCACTGGGGCTCCTAACTTACTTCCTAACCAAAAATGTAGTCGCACCAACCAAAATTTAGTCGCACAAACCAATCACGAGCACCGTTAAGACACGTTTTATATAAACAGATTTATTGCTTTTGAAATCAACATTTATCGCATTGATTATTTTATATAAGTGTTTGAAATGATTTGTCTGGAAGAATTATTAAGAGACTTTCAGGTATTTTTAGAAATTCAGTAAAGAGAGCACAGTACATGATGATGCAAAGCAGTTTACCCTGAAAAAGTGCATATAACGTTATTAGCCCTCTTGTGAATTTTTTTTAAATACTATATCCAAAGTGCTGTTTAACAGAGCAAGCATTTATTTCACAGGATTTCCTATTATATTTTTCTGCTTGAGAAACTCTTATTTCTTTTAATTTGGCTTGAATAAAAGCAGTTTTTACATAAAAACAACAATAATAATTTAAGGTCACCATTATTAGCCTTCTTTAGCATGCATGTAAGCTTGACACCCAGTGGTTGATCAAGGTATTGCACACATGTTTCAAAACAAATGCAGGTTTCAAAGCAAAGTGCAGGTTGTCAGATTGACGACGACAACAGCAGTGTGCCTGACTATCGAGCCTAAAGGCTGATTTAAACCTTGTTCGAAATAAAACGGTAGAGCAGTACGAGAAATGGAGAATGCGGACGTTGTCTTTTATCAGGAGTTCGTTCACATTTAGACACATCGCTGTGCTGCTGTGTTCACCTAAATCCTCCAGATGACCAGCAGGGCTAATGGTTGAGTTGGGCAAGAGACCTGCTGCACTGAGTCTGCATTCAGACCCGGGGATAGAGGGAGAAGTCCTCATTTAGTGTTTATATGAACACCATTATCTTTATAATGATATAGACTGTGGTTATCTGTATATGAAATTAGGAATAACAAATGTAGCAGGGCATTAGATCACTTAATTTCTTTGCATTTTAACTTTGTAAACTATAAACTCATGCGTCTCCTCACGGTTCTCATTTTGTGAGCCGACTGACAACAGTTGTTTGCTCCCCTCCTTCTCCCCTGCTGGCCACGCCCACTCCTGCCCTTTGCTCACTGAGCTCCGCCCATTATGATGCATCTTTTGAAAATATTCTGAGGTGGAACTGAACCGAAAATGGGGGTGTCATGACCCTTTAAACAGGTCTATATAATGGAGAAAATGACTGCATGTCTACAAATGAAGACGGTATAGAACGGCATCATGACATATTTACTAGATATGTACATTTAGAGGTTGCTTAACCTATCATCACTGTAATTTGAAGCAACTACAATGCAACACAATGTACAAATGTATCCCCTGAAAAGTAAATATGATGGCAATACCTCTTATTTGTTTATTTGATTGTTTATTTTTTAATTTTTTATTATTATTATTATTTTATTATTATTTATTATTATTATTATTATTATTTATTATTTTCATATGTATTATTATTATTTAGTATTATTATTATTTTTTTATTATTATTATTATTTTATTATTATTATTATTATTATTATTATTATTATTATTGTATTATTATTATTATTATTATTATCATTATTATTATTATTTTATTATTTTTTTATTATTAGTATTATCATTATTATTATTATTATTATTGTTTTATTTTATTATTATTATTATTATTATTTGTTTTTATTAGATTTTTTAATTAATTATTTTATTATTATAATTTAATTATTATTTGTTTTATTTTATGTGTCCCCTCATGTGTAAGGGGTAAAATTCTTGGGGAAGGGGTTTTTCTGTTAAAAAAATATATTGAAAATATACTTCTAACAGAAAACTGACAGTGTTAGTTCTTAGAATTCTTAATTAAATTAATTATTATTAATCTCAGTGAACTGATCTGCTGCAGCTTTCAGTAGTATGACAGTAAATGTGATGTGAAACGGCATTCAGACTCACATTATCAGCGTTTACCCCTGAATAAAGCACATGAGGAGTACCTGAACTGATCAGTGTTCTGTTGTTCAGCTGTCAGAAACAGAAGCCGCTTCTAATATCTACATCTGAGGTGTTGGTTAGGACAAACACTCCTTTAATATGGCAGTATTCCTTCTATCGGGTGCCGCTGCTTTAATTATGATCGCAGTTTAAATCAGCCTGTAGTCTCGATAGTCAGCCTGCGCTTGCGTGTGTTTTGAAGCAGCGGTGCAGTACCTAGTTCAGCCACTGGGTGACCAACACACTGCACCTGTAACTGCGAATCCTTCTGGATGCTCTTTCTGATTATATTCACTGTTCAGCAGCTGACCAGAGGAGATGTTCAGACTGATGGAGTGTGTGTGATGCAGCCGCTGGAGATGGACGGCGCTGAACATGTGAGTCTATAAACCACACACACACACACACTCATTCCTGTCCTGTACGTCTGGAGCCGTGCGCTGCTAAAATAATAACATGCGGGATCAACCGCAAGCACATCAGAGTCAGAAACAGCTGCTGACCTGCACTGATCTGTGTGTGTGTGTGTGTGTGTGTGTGTGTGTGTGTGTGCTGTTAGAGCGCTGTCTGTGTTTCTGAGCACATTAATAGCGTCTGGACGTCCGTCTTCTTCATTAAAATGCTTGATTTGTGCTGTTGTGAAGTATAATCAAAGCGCGCGCACACACACACACACACACACACACACACACACACACACACATCCAGACCCGTGCTTTCACACACACACATGTACATCAGAGCATATCTCTCTCTCTCTATCTCTCTCTCTCTCTCTCACACACACACACACACACACACACACTCACACACACACACACACACACACTCACACACACTCACACACACTCACACACACTCACACACACACACACACACACACACACGGTCTCCCTCTCACACACACCTGTGGATTAGCACATCACAGGCCTCTTTTTATTTGAAACAGAGTGTGTGTGTGTGTGTGGTTTATAGACTCACATGTTCAGCGCCGTCCATCTCCAGCGGCTGCATCACACACACTCCATCAGTCTGAACATCTCCTCTGGTCAGCTGCTGAACAGTGAATATAATCAGAAAGAGCATCCAGAAGGATTC